CATTTGAACATAAAAAAATATAGTACCCCGGTTGATCCAAGTTTGAAACTGGTATGAAATGATGGAAGGGCAATTGCTCAATTAGAATATGCTAGTGCTATTGAAAGTCTTATGTATACAGTTCAATGTACAAGACCGGACATTGCGCATGCCATAAGTAAACTTACCAGGTTTACTAACAATCCGAGTAAAAAACATTGGAGGGCCATTGGAAGAGTTCTTGAATACTTAAAGAAAACCAAGAACTTAGGCCTGCAATATACTAAATTTCCGACAATATTGGAAGGATTTATCAATACTAGTTGGATATCTATCACGGGTGAAAGTAAATCCACCTCAGGTTGAATGTTCACTCTAGGAGGAGGTACTGTTTCTTGAAAATCAAAGAAACAAATATGCATAACACATTCGACCATGGAATTTGAATTTGTAGCCCTATCGGACACCAGGAAAGAAGTTGAGTGGTTTAAGAATCTCTTCTATAAGATACATTTGGGATCAAAGAATATTTCTTCAACACCTATCATGTGTGACAGTCAAGCCACATTAGCAAAAGCATACAACGAGATATACAACGAAAAGTCTAGACACATAAGTTTTAGACATGACTATATAAAGAAGTTAATCAAGGATGGAATAATTTCCCGAAATTATGTAAACTCAATTGAGAATTTGGCGGATCCTTTGACTAAACCTCAAAACAAAGATTTAGTAGCATCTATTTCGAGTATGATGGGGTTGAAACCCCTTAACTAAAAAGTTTCACCAATGACAATCCTACCTGTCATTACTTAAAAGGTAATTTACAGGTTCAAAGGATAATAACAAGTTATTCGATATGTGAATAGTTGCATCATTATTAAAAAATCCACAATAATCCTATCCTAATTAAATTAATGCTGGTAGTTACTGAAATTAGGGATGAGCTTTAAGCTCTTAATGAAGTTCAGTGCTAAAACACAAGTATATCTAAAGGTAACAAAAGTACTGGAATAACTTCACCTAAATAATCTTCAAGGTGGTGCTGCCTTAATAGAGATTTGAAGTTTCTCTCTTAAAAGATTGTTGAAAAGGATAAGCGCAATACCATGAAAGCGCTAAGCGAGTTATGAGGAACTTGAGAACACGTGGTACTCGTGTGTGTATTTTTACCAGTATTGTCATATGGAATAACTGGCTCAAAGCTACAAGCTACCTTTGATTCTGACTATATTTTGTTTGAATAACACTATGATTAGATTCAAATCGAAAGATTTCTAATCCTTATGCATGAGTATCGTATATTATGAATATGAGACTTGTTAATTTTGAAAAAGTAGGGAATTGCTGTGATTTGTTGTTCAAAATAAACAACAATAAAAAAATAATAAATAATAATAATTTTGTCCATGCGACCACATGCGGTCGCATGGCCTAATACCGAGACCAAATGGTCTTGACATGGGCAAACCATGCGATCGCATGGGTTTGTACCATGCGGTCGCATGGTGCAATTATTTGACCGTTGGAGGCCGTTTTCTCCCGTTGTAAATTCAAAATTGGTGACTTTTGACTTTAAGTTTGGCACCATTTCGTGAATATGGTGTATGCCTATATATATTGGATCTATGTTGAAGGCAAACACATCACAAAAAAATCAAAGTTTTATATTACTTCCGAAATCAAAGATCAAAGTCTTTAAAAGCCATATTCATATTCATTCTTTGTGTTCTTCAAGTTTTCTAAGATTTTTCACTTGTGCTTTGATGTTTAAATCCTTTTGAGGCTTGTTATAATCCTGCAAACCATTTGCCAACAACCTTCGAAACATCTCAAATTCATAGGAGAAGGGGCAAATATCGTTTGAGGACAACGATATCGTGTTTAAGCCATTCATTGATACAAGTTCGAAATTATCTTTTTTTGGCGTTTCTGATTCATATTTTGTGATCTTTACTCCAACCCAGTGAATTTTCTCCAACAGTGGTTGCCTCCAATTTTTCCAGCATCTTTTTAGTCTTCGTTTTTAGTTTCCGGTTGCTCTCTTGGCTTCTCAGTTTGGCCGATATTAATGAAACTCTACATTGCTTCTTATGTATGCACGTGTATGGTTTCATGCTGGTTTTCAAGTTTTTGATTCTGGTATCCAATTTTCTGCTATCCATCTGACTTCTGCTGTGGTTTTGTGGTTGGTGGCTGACTTTTGATATTTTCATGATTTCTTGGCAGAGTCTACTCTGCTGTGTCTGACCTCTTGCTGTATTTTACAGCTTCTATTCTGGGATTCTCCATGTTATTTGAATTTTTTTTGAATTTGTGGGCCGGTTCTTTCTGGTTTGTTTTCTGCCTGGACCCTATTCAGCCTGTGGTTATTGGATTATTTCATCTTTGACCTTCATTTCTCTTTGGTCCACTAATTCTCTGGACATTTTTGGGCCTTCGCTGGATTTGCTTTTGCGATTTTTATTTGGAAATTACATAGAACCGGATTCATCAACTTTCAATTTCAAAAAGGAGATCTAAAGTCTGTTTATACAAAAATCAGATAATAATTTCATATTTTAATTTAATAATAACATTTAAAAATTAAATTAATCTATATATCTCTCCCCTACGTCTTTCCACCCTACCAAATTTTTCAAACCCTAATCATTTTTTACTTTTCCTTCTATGTAAATATCTTCATTCCCTCTTTCCTCTCTCTCATTTGTGCCACCACTGGAGCATCGCCGGCATTAACAACTTTGGTCGGTCAACATCTAGGATCTGTAGTCACCAAAGGGGGAAAAAAAAGAGTCAACAACGTAGCAACGAGCCTTCAACCATGGTGACATGAGATGCAACGCTGCCATTAGCAGATCTGCTTCAAATTTCTACGATTGAGCCTTCGACCATGGCATCGCCACATTGAGAAGTGGCCAGAGGTAGTTGGAATAAAGCCATTGGAAGCTGCCAAGCATTCTGGTTTTTGGATCTGATTGAGTGTGACCGCATGCAACCATCGACGTTTTGATTGTGGTGACGATGAAGTGACACTATTTGTTGATCTGATTTGTTGGTGATTTTTTGGCGACTGTTTTGTTAGATATTGTTGGCGGTAATTGTGGCGGTGATTTTATTGGTGGTTGGAACTATGGTTTTGTTGGTGTTTTGGGTAGCGACTGGTGTGCCTGTGATCTGATGTTTGGGTAGGCAGTGCTAGATCTTGTTGGTGGTGATGGTGGCTATGGTTTTGTTGGTTGTTATGGTGGTGAGAAGTGGTTTTTAAAGTTGAAAATGGAAGTTTATTGAAATAGCGATGGTGTTGGTGGCGCTAGTGGTGGTGGGGTGGAGCTACATTCGGTTGGTGCCATATGGATTGGGGTTGCGTGGGGTAGGTGATGGGATTAAGAGTATCTGTGACCACTTATTTGAAATTGTGACCAATAAATTGGATATTTTGTGATCAAAAAATAATATTTGATCGATAAATTGTAACCAATAAATAATATGTGACTTAAAATTTTGAATTGTAATTTATAAAATTTGTGGATTGTGACCAATGAATAAATTGTGATCTATAAAAAAAATTTATTGTGATCGATGAATAAATTGTGACCAATAATTTTTTTGATTTGTAATCGTGAAATAATTTGTGACAAAAAAAATTTTTGGTTTGTGACAAAAAAATTATTTGTGACCAATTAATTTAATAATTTGTGATCAAATTGTACGAAAATGTGACCTTAATATATTTAATTAATAAATTATATAATCAAAATTTAATAATATATGATTTTTGAAATTTTAAACATTATTTCTTAATTTTGAAATGGGTGATAGTTAGTTAATCTCTTAAATATGAAATTTTCCCTTTTTATTTTCACATTGGGCCTTTTCCTCTGGACTCCCAATCTTTCTGGCCTCTAGCCTGTTTTGCCCGTAATCTGGGCTGCACTCTTTTCCCCTTGGTCTTCCTTGCTGCCCGATTTTTGCTTCCTGGCAAATTAACGTTTTCATGGGAAAGAAAAAACACGTTGCTACCCATTCTATTGGGTTAGCTTCCCTCAAGCCCACGGCTGCTAAGCTGGATGATAGTGCTACGAATATTGTCGCCTCTTCTAAGATAAATGTTGCTGAATATGATAACGTGAGTATGCCTTCACCTAGTGTATCATTGACACTTGGAGAAAATGATACGGAATCTGAAAATTCAGATTTTTAATCAAATTCGGTGGAATTGGAGCAACAAAAACATGATAATGTTGCTGGAAATCAAGTAGTGGAAAATATGAAAGCCCCATGGGTTAATCTTTTTAAAGACAATCAGAAGATGGAAGAAAATATAAAGTTGAAGGCTTTTGAAAGTCAATCAGATGAAGTTGTCTTGGATGAAGACAATATTGAAAATTCATGGGGATACGGGCTTGTTGGATATTTTGCCGGTCGATTTCCGAGGAAAGTGGCTCTTCTCCAACTCTGTGACTCGTGGAAGGTAGATTATAAATATTTTGTGCATGCTAGTGGTTGGTTGGTGTTCAAATTTGAAACGGATGTGTATAGATTGAGTGTGTTGCATGGGGGCCCATATTTGGTTTACGGGAGATCGTTAATGCTAAAAGTCATGTCACGCTATTTTGATTTCAATGATAAAGACGTGAGCACTATGCCGGTATGGATAAACCTACCGAGGTTACCTTTGGAATTTTGGAACACCAACGCCTTGGGTAAAATTGTCTCCAAGGTTGGGAAATCTATCTCAACCGACAAAGTCACGGCTACTAGAGGTCGATTCTCATTTGCGAGAGCTCTAGTTGAAGTTGATGCCTCCATTGAACTTGTGCGGGAGGTGAAAATTAGGCATCCAAATTGAGGGATCAAGAAATCGTCTTTGAGCATGAACCAAAATTTTGTGGTTCTTGTAAAGTATTCGATCACTCGACTATTGGATGCAACAATAAACATACCGAGGGGGGGGGGGGGGGGGAAGGAAAAGGAAAACCTAACAGGGGGGGGGGGGGGGGGGAGGAAAAGGAAAACCTATGGGGGCTGCCCAACGGAAATATGGGCAAGCTAGAAAATCTACATTAAATTCCCAGATTTCTCCCGTCGAGGCAACTTGTAGCGAGCAAGAAATTGGGGAACAACAAACCATGATTTCGGATGGCCATAAAAGGTAGTTTATAAACCGAAATTCTGGGCAATTGGGTCTTGAAAATGTGGACTCCCAGCAGGTCGAAAATCTGGACCAGGTTGAGGCCCCGTTTGTGAAGGTTGTTAGCAAGAAAAATAGGGCTGTTGCGTTGAAAAAATCTGCTCATGATGGGGTCTCAAAATCTAGGGGCAGATTCATTATCCAATATCAACGAGGCAATTTCTAGTAAATCTAGAAGTGATATGCTAAAAGGCAAAGTCGAGGAAAAAAAGAAAGTGGGATAAAAAATGGACGAGAAGAAGGGTACATCCCTTGCTTCAACATCATGAAGATCGCTTTTTGGAATATTAGGGGTATGAATCCACCCCTTAAACAAAATGGGATTCGAGATTTTATCAAGTAACATTTCATTAATATTATGGGTATTTTGGAAACGAAATTGGGTGATAGAAAATTGAAGAGGATTTTGCAGAATAAGTTTGATGGCTTCATGCATGTAAATAATTTTGACACACATAGAGCCGGACGAATCTTAATTTTGTGGAATCCATCCAAAGTGCTTTTGGATGTGATGGAGGTTCATCACAAATCATCCATTGTAAAGCTACTTGTAAGGTAACATCTTTTACTTTTCTTGTGAGCTTTGTTTATGGATTTCATACTATGGTTAACCGACGGCCACTTTGGAATATCATTATGGAGTTTAATGCAAATGTTTCGTTACCTTGGTTGATTCTTGGTGACTACAACAATATTCTTAAATTTGATGAGAAATGTAGTGAAGCGGACATTACCCCTTATGAAATAAAGGATCTTGCAAATTGTTGTCTTTATGTGGGTCTTACGGATGTGCGTTCCATTGGTTGTTATTACATGTGGACTAATAGTTCGATTTAGAGCAAAATTGATAGGGAAATGGTCAATGATATATAGGTGCAAAATGGGGCATATGTTTATGCAAATTTTCTTCCCTCCGGATGCAATTCAGAGCACTCCCCTTGCATTGTTTCTATATATGACCATGTTGGACGTGCAAAGAGACCTTTCAAGTTTTTTAACATGTGGACCAAGCATGAGAAATTCCGTGATATTATTCGAGTTTGCTGGAATTTTTACTTGCGAGGGACAAAACAATTTATCTTTTGCAAGAAATTGAGCAAAGTTAAGGGTGCTTTGAAGGAGCTTAATCTTAAGCATTTTGGGCACATTTCGGCTAGGGCAAGTGAGGCTAAAAATGATTTGGGGGCTGCCCAATTACAATTACATAATCAGCCCATGAATGTGCATCTTCAACTTATGGTTGCTAAATTGAGGAAAAAGGTCGTTGGTTTGTGCGAAGCGGAACGTAGTTTTTATTATCAAAATGCTAAATGTGTTTTCCTTAAGCAAAGTGATAAATGCACAAAGTTCTTTCACTTGGTGGTTAAAAGGAACTCTAGAAGGAATTTCATTGCTACTACACTCAAAGAAGACGGGATGTATACTACATCACAAGATCAAGTTGTTACAGAATTTGTCAAATTCTATACTTCTTTGTTGGGAAAAAATGCCCCACTCGGCCTATTGAGATGGATATTGTTACAAATGGTCCTTTGGTTTCTTTGGAACAAGGTCAAACTTTGATTCGGGACATTTCTTATGAGGAGATTAAAGATGCACTTTTTGATATTGGAGATGAAAAATATCTCGAGCCGAACGGTTACACTTCTTTTTTTTTAAGAATGCTTAGGGGACTATTGGTGATGATTTTGTTGGGGCTATCATGGAGTTCTTCTCTTCGGGTTCCATCCTCAAACAAATCAATCACACGGCCATTGCTTTGGTGCCTAAATCGGATCACACACCGCATGTTGGTGATTATAGGCCCATCTCTTGTTGTAATGTTACTTACAAAGTGGTTGCTAAAATTCTTGCTTCTAGATTGAGACCCATTTTAGGAGACATTGTTGATCATGCACAAGCCGCTTTTGTGGAAGGTAGGAGTATCACGGTGAACATTTATCTTGCCCAAGAACTATTGAGATAATACAATAGGAAAAGGGTTGCTCCAAGATGCCTTCTAAAAATTGATCTTACGAAAGCTTGCGATTCGGTAAGTTGGGATTTCCTTAGAGATGTTCTTCGTGGGTTGCAATTCCCCTCGACATTTGTTCATTGGGTTATAGAATGTGTCACTTCTACAACATATTTTATAGTTTTGAATGGGACTTTGCATGGATTTTTCAAAGGTAGTAAAGGACTTCGACAATGTGACCCCCTTTCCCCCTTCTTATTTGTGCTTTGTATTGAATACTTCTCGAGATTGCTTAAAGCTACCACGAATGATAGTGATTTCAACTTTCACCCAAAATGTGGCCCCCAAAAGATCACCCATTTAGCTTTTGCGGATGATTTGATGCTATTTGCTAGGGGATGTGTTATGTTAGTAAAAATTCTCATGGATTACCTTTCAAAATTAGGCTCGATATCGGGATTAAGATTGAACGTTCTCAAATCCAACTTGTTTACAGCTGGAATTCATGGACAGCTTCTTGAGGATATCTTGCAATTAACAAATGTTCCAAAGGGAAGTATGCCATTTTGGTATTTGGGCATCCCCCTTGCATCGCAAAAACTTAAAATGAGTTGTTATGCTCATTTTCTTGACAAAATTACATCATATATTGGTGCATAGAATTGTTCTACATTATTTTTTGCAGGTGAGATTGAACTTATAAGGGCGGTTCCTCAAGGAGTGGAATGTTTTTGACTTTCTATTTTCCCTATTCCGGCTACAATTATATCAAGGATAGTTAGCCTTTGTCAGAAATTCCTTTGGGGATCTAAGAAACCTTTGGTTGCATGGAAGGATCTTTGTCTTCCAAGAGATGAAGGGGCCTCGGATTGAAGGAATTGAAGAGTTGGAATTTAGCGCTACTTACTAAATCCCTTTGAAACATACAAAATAAAAAGGACTCCCTTTGGACTCGGTGGGTTCATCAAGTCTATCTTAAAGGGACATGTATTTGGGAGGTTGCTCCGAGAAAATATCACTCCCCATTGTTTAAAAAGTTACTGGAAATCCGGAATTTATTGAGGCAAAGTGTGATTATTTCCCAGAATTTAATTCTATTATTATACATGCTGGAATTCGCTAGTTTAAAGCTGCTATGGATCCACACGTCACTGACCAATCTCGAATCTGGTCAAGTGATGAGCAAAATGACCGAAAAAGTGCAATGCTGGACAGATTACTTTGCTGGTCGGCAGGGGGAAAATTAAGCACCAAGCTGGCGTATGACTTTTTCAGGCCGAGAGGTACAAAGAAGGTATGGGCAGCCGATGTTTGGAAATTTTGTATCACTCCAAAGCCCTCATTTTTGCTTTGGTTAGGAGTCCAATCAAAACTCCTAACTAAAGACAAATTGCATTTCTTGGATATTGATCGCAAGTGTGTTTTTTGTGGGCATATGGAGGAAACAGTTCGTCGCTTATTCTTTGAATGTTCATTCACTTCAACATTATGGGGGAATATTAGACAGTGGCTAGGAATCAAAAGATCTATGTCTTCACTTGCAAGCGCTCTAAAGTGGATGAAAAAAGAGGCCCGTGGGACGTCATGGCAAAGTAAAGCGAAGAGTATTGCTCTTGCGAACACCGTTTACTACATTTAGCTTTCAAGGAATAGAAAGATTTTTGAAGACCTTTCACCTCACTTGGATTTCATCATGAGACGAATCAAGACACACGTATACAAAATTATGTTCTTTTTGTATCCGGAAGTTTTGATCCATTTTGAATCCTTAGCGTTGGGTCATTGAATTCTTTTACACATCACTTATTTTGTACTTCCCGGGGATGTCCGGAGTAATTGTATGTGATATTGACTTTTGTTTGCCCGAGAATGCTCGGTGTACTTGTATATGAACATTTTTTATCAATAATATTTACATTTACCAATCAAAAAAATTGTTGCTTCCTCTTCTTTACTTTACCTCTTTGAACAATTTTTCTGGTGTCCTAGTTTGTCCAATTGATTTCCATGAGGAAATCCTTTCAGCACACAGCATACGGAAAACAATTATGTTAATATTAAGCTTGCTTTAGTGTCTTACGAACTTACTTCA